TCAAGCCAGCTATTCCCCTACTGAGAATTTTCCCAGAAGAACTGAAAATGTCATATCATAGTGATATATGTGTACCTATGTTTATAGCAGCACAATTTGTGATAGCCAAATCTTGGAAACAACCAAGATGCCTGTCACATGAGGAATGGTTGAGAAAGATGTGGTATTTTTATACAACAGAATATTACTCAGTTATAAAGAATGATAAACTTGAAGCATTTATATTTAAGTGGATGCCACTTGAAGATATACTCATAAGTGAAATAAACCAGGCCCACATGTGTAAATATTATATAGTCTCCCTAGTATAAGAACTCAAATGAAGAAACACAAATAGGTATAACACAACTAAAAGGAAAGCGAGAACTTGAGGATTGGACAACAAGGAGAGGGTAAGGAGAAAATCTGGGTAACAGGACAGGGACAAAGCCATACATTTATATGCACAAGATGGTCAAGGCAATGATCCTAAGAAACATCAGCAGTTTTTTTAAAACTAGCAGTTAATTGGCAGGATTCTCACCCTGACTAACTATATATGCTGATATCTGTGAACCAAGCAACTGCATTGAAGATAGCAATGTGTAATAGAAGGGCCACACTTGGAATGCCTGTCATTCTGGTCTTCTAAATACACACTTCATGTCATGACATACCAATTATTACTATACTGTCTCACAAGTAAAAGGTTTTTGTTGTTGTTGTTGTTTTTTGTGTTTCTTTTTTTAAATGGGTAATAAATGAAAAAAAAAAAGACACAAGAAAAAGAAAAAAAAAAGTCACATGGCTATCCTGCTACAATTCTGTATATAGTTAGATCTCTAAGTTTCTGTGTAAAAATATGTGTTTATTCCTATTTTTTTTAATTTTTTTTTCTTCATATTCTGTAAGGACTTAATTTCAACACATCAATACTTGATGGAAGGTACCTGTTCCATGTTATGTCTAAGATGTTCGATATTTAGACTGATAGTTAGGGTAAACCTAACTGCATATGTTGCAGGGTAATAATAAGCTTCTCTTCTGGAGGGTTAACAGCCTAAGTTTGCAGATCAAAAATTGGAGAAAAGGAAGGGTGGAAGGTCCTCCAACATTTTGGCCCTAGCCTTTCAAGGTCAGTAAAGACTGAGGACATAGGGGAACCCATACTGTAACATCATATAACTCAGTTGTGCCCCAAATTTTCTGATCAAGGAGATTATGGAGCCACCGAGGAATGTGATCAATGATGAAGTGTGTGCCTAAGGAGAGTCACATGGAGAGAAAACATTCTCTCAGGCTTTCACAGAGAACAAATTGGTCAAGCATTGGCCATGACTCATCCACATGGCTGACAATGACAAAGGATCTGCAAAGTACAGTACAGGGTTACAGGATAAATCCTGAGGGGACTTGACTGACCTTATCAGGTACAAAAGTTACATTTCTTGTTATATAGGTCTGGCTTTATCTAGGTCTTAACCATCCAGCAGAAAAGTATAAAAATAAAATATATAAAGTAAAGCCACATTAATATGCTGAGCTGTAAAAGGCTCTAGTCAACAACTTCTGCAGATAACCCCCTACTATTGTGGACTACTGGACTGTGTTGGATTGTTTTGCTGAACTCAAGCACCTATAATATTTAGATGCCAATAGAATACCCATCTCCGACAGGACTGAACTGGAGAGGGAGGATACAGAGGAAGGACCATTTTATATTTGTATATACAGAATAGTCAGGATAGATGTACGGCTGATTTCGCTTGGTTCAGTGACAGAAAGGATTTGTAGTAGTAGTGTTTGGACGGGATGTCCTGGCTGCTTCTTGTGCTGTGGATGACTGCTGAGAAGATAACAATATACAATGTATTAATTACTGAAAATGTCCTATTAATCAGCTTGGAAAGTGTCTCACTGATATTTTTGCTCAATAAAATAAATAAATAATAATAATAATAATAATTTGAATGCAGAATGTTTCCCTCAGATCCAAGTATTAAAGGCATGGCTCACAGGACAGCACTATTTGAATGTGCTGTGGACCTTCAGGAAGCAGGGCCTCAGGGAGGTCCTTGGTTACTAACAGTCTGCTTTTGAGGGAAATGCAGCCCCCCCTCCCCCACCACCACCACACGCTCTGCTCTCTGAGCAATTTGCTCTGCCGTGAGCTCCTGCCCTGATGTGCTGCATCTCCAAAGGCCCAAAGAAATATGGCCGCTCAGTCAGGACCCGAAGCTCCAGATCAATAAGCCAAAATGCCCTTCTCTCTTTTAAATTCGCTGTCTCAGATATTCTGTTCCAGTGCCAGGAGACTTACAGATAAACAGGCCCCTGGCTCTGTCACTACTATACTACTGTGGCACACAAGCAATCATAGAAGAAATCAAATTTCCCAAGAATAAGTAGTAGGTGAGACCCAACCTCAAGGCTGCAACGTGCCAACTCCGTAAATGCGTCCTTATCCTAAATGGAACAAGTCTCATCATAACGCATTATCCATTCTAGATTCATACCCCAGTTTTCTGAAAATAGCTCTTTTCCTGTTAGAACACAATTTAAGAGAATTTATACCAAAAATATCTTTTTACATTTTACCTGAATAATTTCAGAATTAAATTTTGATTCCAAATGTGCTGCTCTTTCTGCTTCAATGTTTTCTTCCAGTTTCCTCACTCTTAGGGTAGTTGCCTGAAAGAAAATTACAAGTTTAACAGTCTAGTGTGGTGGTGCACACCTATAATCCCAGCGCTTGGGAGGCTGAGGCAAAGGACTGCTGTAAGTTCAAGGCCAGCCTGGGCTACTTAATGAATTCAAGGTCAGCTTAAACTGCATAGTGAGATCCTGTCTCCATTAAAAAAATAAAAAAAATTTTTAAAAGGTGAGCTCATGCACACTGACATTTAAAGCAGACACAGATCACTATATTCCAGAACTGTACTTAACACTTTAGATGACTTTAGCGATGATCTCAATTTTGCACTTCACTTTGCAGGAGCGAAGTACAAGCATTAAGCTCAGGAAGACTGCTCCAGAATGGGCGCCTTCTGTTAACCTTTCCACCGCGGAGACTCTTTCTGCCCTTTCGTGATGCTTTCCTCCAACCCTTGCCACCCCCACGTGAATGCTCACCTGCTTTCCATCTTTAGAAAGCAGCTTGTATTTTCTGAAACTTCCAGTAAATTAAATCTCACAATGTACCCTTCATTGGCTGGCCCTTTCCCCTTCCCTGAGTATTTTGAGATTTCACATACACAACTGCATGTATAATTCATTCCTTTTATTCTTAAACTGTGTTCCACACACTGATGCACAACAACTAAGTCTCTCTATTCACCCGCTGACAGGACAGCTATGTGAGTTGTTTCTAGTTGGGCCATCAGGTAAAAACACATAAAGTGTTGTGAACATTTCCACACAAGTCTTTTTAGTCTTTTTCAGTTCTCCAGGACAAGCAGGGCAGAGCAGAATGACTAGGCTAATAGCAGGTATACACTGAATATTTTTCAACCCTGCCCCAACTTTCCTAAGAGGTAATGATAATTTATATTCCTAACAGCAAGGTATAGGATTTCCCCGCTGTCCCACACCCTCCCTAACACTTATACAGTCATTTATGTTGTTTTAGACATCCAAATGTGCCTCGACTAGCATGTCACTTTAGTTTCGTAGTAACAATGACCCTAAGCATCTCTTCATCGATTGTCTCATTAGACAAAGTATTTACTCAAAACTTTGTTCACAGACACAGGTCTTTTGCAAAAGGGAAGAGAACCGGAGATGGAGGACGCTGGGGACAGTGGGAAGGACAGGGATGAAGAAAGCACTGAACATGTTCTGCCCATGTGCCACTCCCCAGGATGAATGTGATCATTACGTACTGCAAAGACATACCTATATCTACAAGAAGAAAACAATCTTGGCTGGTGCGGCACCTGGACATGGAGCCCCGGGCCCTGCGCACACTAGCCCAGAGCCCACGTGTGCTGTGTAAGAACTACAGCACAGAGCTATACCTCCAGCACCCCTCATTTTTTGTGTCACTTTTCAATTTAGTTATTTTCACACTGTTGAATTTTGAAAGTTCATTAAATAATCTGTATGCATTTTTCTTGGATATATGATTTGCAAATATTTTCTACAAATCTACATACTGTCTTTTCATTCTTTTAACAATTCATAAAGCAAAATTTTTTTGTTATGATGAAGTCTAATTTTTCAAGGCGCAAACCATTTCTGCACCCAAACAGGAGTCAAAAGCTGTACTAATGCTATTATTGTTGACAAAATGCAATCCCATAAAGCCCTGGGTTCCTAGGGGCCAGGGAGATGGCTCAGTGGAATAAGCGCTTCCCTGGCAAATGCAAGGGCCTAAGTTCAATCCCCGGTTCCGCAAAAAAGAAAAATTACATGTCTTACTTAGGGGGCCTGCACCTTAGCTCAGTTCTTTAAGTAGCTGCTTCAACAAAGTAGTCAGGCTCAGGTTGCTGTGGTTTGAACCCCACAACTCTAGCCAGCCAAAACTGCCTTGAAGGCATTCGGAGCCAAAAAAAAAGAAAAAAAAAAAAAAATATATATATATATATATATATCCTTCTGCCATAAAGCCCTAGGTCCCTAAAAAAAAGAATTGGTGATGACTGAATGTCTCCAAGCAGCAGGGAAACTAGGGCTACAGAACACCCAACATGTCGCAGGATAAAGCAAAAAATTAAATCACTAGCAGCATATTAGTCACATATGGACAGTCCAATAGTGATAAAGGCATCATTAACTTTATCTCCCTTACTGAATATATTTCAAAGTCAAGGAACTATGTGCCTTGTAAGGGTGAATTGTATGATACACAAAATATATATCAATTAAAAAGAGTAAAAGGGTCAAGAACAATGTCAAAAAATTGACACCCACATAACTTAAACTCTTCTTTCCCTTCGTGGAAAAAAATCCTTAAGCTACTGACCTTAGTTTCTTAGAACAAGGGCATCCAAAGATTGTGGGGTGCTTTATAAAGCATGGCGCATACTTATCACAAAGAAATCCTTATGTTAACGCAGATGAGAATCAACATTAACCTAGGCAGACCTAATATGAACAAAAAACTCACATACGCCTTACAGGATGACGTTTTTGCCTTTAAGGAATTAATGTTGAATTTGTCAGCATCTACTATGCTCATCATAGATTCTGTAAGTAGGAATCTAGCCCAATCACAAAGAAATGGTCCATAGGAGGAGAAAATAGAAGATTTTTTAAACTACTAAAGGAAAGAAGAAATTAGTCTAACAAAGTTAAAATACTTTTTCTCATTCCAAAAGGCATATTATGTAGATTTCTCTTTTAAAATGACAATCATGTATTTTCAGAGTCAGCAACATGCGGTACCAGGGATCAAACCCAGGTCCTTGTTCTTGCTAGGCAGACGCTTAGACCACTGAGTTATCTCCCCAGACCTTCATGTATTTTCTTAAAATACATTAAGTGAAAAAGCAACTAACAATCCAATTATATTATATATATATATATATATATATATATACACATATATATGTGTGTGTATATATACACCTACACTTCTACTCAGGAAGTTAAGAGGATCTACTTTTTCCAGTCTTAACTGAAACCAAATGGTCGAAAAACTAACAGAGCAACTCTTTATTTTCAAAACGTTTCTGTTTTGAATGAAATGTCAAAAAGAAAACAAATTTATAAGCTGTTTATTACTACTGAAACTACTGATATATTAATAAGGATAGTAAGAAAAACTTTCAAAGTTTACACAGACTACTTCCCAGAGTCTAGGAGAATAACTAAAGTTTTCCTAATAATTTTTGGCAAATTAATTCTTATATCCACCAGAGGGTGCTAGAGAAACACCAGCATGCTGTTCAAAGAAAAATAAAAAATAAAAAAATAAGAAGAAATGAAAAATAAATAAGAAAAATAAAAGATAAAAATTAGTGCAACATTCCTAAATGCCTCACTGGCATTTAATCCTAATACAATCAACAAAGCAAGGGCATAAAGCATAGCAGAATTCTGATTAAAATACAAACTTTAACACAAATTCATATACTTAACTAATCAGGTTACTTAACTATATACCACTTTGCCTCTAATTCAATGATCACACTGTATGAAATCTGTTCCCTAACACTAAGAACACCTTTTTTTTTTTTTTTGGTGCCAGTGATTTGGTACCGCCTTGCCAGGCAGGCGGTAGCCACTAAGTTATCTCACTGGCCCTTAGGAACATCTTCATCCCATATTCAATCCTTTATTAGCTATTTTGCCATGTTCCACCCCACTGAAATAATATACTCTGAAGAGATTTTGATTTTAGTAAGAATTGAGTTTTTCTCCCTCCCTCTCCTCCTCTTTCCATATATATTATATACTATATGTTGCATATAATCCGATTTGTACCTAATTAAATCACATTAGGCCCAGTTAGATAACCTACTGTATGTTTTTAAAATGAGCTTTTGGCCGGGTGTGGCAGTGCACACCTGTAATCCTAGCATGGGGGGGAGGGGCGCAGGAGGATCACTACAAGTCCAAGGCCAGCCTGAACTACACAGTGAAACCCTGTCTCCAGGAGACAACAAAATGAGCTTTCCATCACTGCAGAAGGCAACAGAAACCCACCTTTCGGCACCTGCTGCCTTATCACAGACCAGGAGCGCCGCCACTCCGAGTCAGCAGGAGAATGCAGCAGGCGCTCTGCACACCACATTTGCTTCTGCAGCTCCCAGGCCCTACTCCAAAAGGTCAGAAACCATGTGCAGCAGATATGCTACAAGACTGAGCAAACATCACATGCACACCACATTCCTTTCCTCCTCAAATACAATATACTCAACTGAAGATAATATGTAAACAAAGAAATTAGTCAAGCAAAAATTTTTATCTATAAATCTAGCCTGCTAAAATAGACACAAAAAAAAAAAAAATAGAGGAAACATCATACAAGTTCATACTAGGTAGCAACTCCTCTGGAGTGGGACATATAGCACTCTTTCCCAAACAGTTACAAAGTTTATCCCAGAATGTCTAACAGTTTATATAAATAGAAAGCAATTGTTGGGCCAGGGAGATAGCTCAGTGGCAAACGCACCTGCCTGGCAAGAGCAAGGTCCTGAGTTTGATCCCCAGCACCAGAAGAAAAAAAAAGCAATTGTTTGTTTAACTGTTTTTCCAGAATTTTTCACCTAATAATTTCCATTAGTGGACACTCTTACAAGTAACCAAGATGGTAGTGATAAACTTCAAAAGGATAATTCTAAGGGACTGGTCATCATAGATCAATTTTACAATGGTATGTCTAGTACTAAGCACAATTTATTTTGTTGTATTTTAATGACCCTAAATAATTTTTCTATATGTTAACAGTTATCTACATTACTTACTCATTACCTGAATGAGGATGGAAATAGTTGCCATGCTTTAAACCCTAAAAATGAAGTGCTCAAACTGTTTTTTATAACCAAAAAAACACCAAAAAGAACCAAAGTTTCCAGGGACGCAGATAAAAACAATCTTTAAAACCATTACTGAGGGGCTGGTAAGATGGCTCAGTGGTCTAAAGCACCCACTTAGAACAAGCTTAGCAAAAGCACAGGGACCACGGTTCAATCCCCCAGCGCCACATGCCAGCCAGTCCCGCCCCCTGGTGGGCTGAGCTG